GCTCATGAGACAAGGTCTGAATGTAGTCTCGAGTCCTAAACGCCTCTCTAACAAAGCTAGCAACCCTCTAAACCCTCAAAGCTCGTACGTGGGCTTCTAATTGAATATTCGAAATGAGGGCGGTATGCCGGCTTCTAGCTGCTGCAATGATAGGGTATGTTGCTGATTTGTGAAAATAGTGATCACACGGATACAGCCGCTGGATCCGCAAGAGCGCGTACCGCCGCGCACGCTGCGTGGGGCGCGCCTAATTACCCAGCGAACCCAGCCATGGCCCAGGCTGCGCATGGGGCCATGGCAAAACAGAAGTCGCGAGAGTGAACCTCGTCGCAAAGCTCGTCATCTCACGTACTAGCCGATGTACGCGTCTCTTAAGTGCACTGAACCGTCCGTCCACTTTAAAGACCTAGCCTAGAAATGTGGATACCGCATTTTTAGCTCGGTTTTTTCGTTAGGAAAACGAGCTGGTGCTTTTACCCTGGCGGTTTTGAAATGCGGCAAAGTGGCGCTCCAGACTGGATCACCCTATTAAGCGCGATTTATCCATCGAAGGCCACTTTTGGCCGCTTTTAGGTTTGAAAATGCTGGACCGGGTTTTTCGACGGCTTTCTGGGTTCGATGCCCCGAAAATCTTTTTTGTAGGGGCCCCCATTCACACCACAAACGACAAGGACGAGTCCAAACTAACACTGACGATGGTACACGTGGAGTGCCGCTATTGCTACCCGCAGCCTACCGTGCCGTCATTGAAGGCCCGCGTATTGCTCGCGTGCAAACAAAGCAGTGTCGCACCGAATTGGAAGTGCGGTGCCACGGCCGGCTGTATATGTCGATCAAGATGCAGTCGTAAACGTATAAAGAAAATCATAAGCTATTCAAGTATTTGACAAACCTGTATCTCACTTATATAGCATAATCCCATTGAAGTGTGAATAAATGAAAAACGGGAACCTATGCGGCATGGCGATTCCCCTGTACCCTGCCAAACCGAGCATTCACACCGCACCGCGGTTTAGCATTTTTTGGCATATGGTGTGGCTTGCCGAGCCGCCAGTCATCATGCATGTGAACTCGGAAGGCGATAAAATTGTGGCCGCGCCCCAGCAAGTATCATTGACCGTCCGAAGGAACTCGCCGTAAGAACGCGTGTCATATGCCGTGATCACCACATGATATGGCTCATGAGTCATACGGCCTCATTTTACTGCCATGATCTCAAAAGCAAATCTGCGAGTCCAAGGGGGCTCGCGATCTAGCTTCAGTTTGCTTATGCCACCTGTAACATGGGCTCTTCTCGTATCGACGGATATTGGTACAGGAAAGTGACAACGGTCAGAGTCCCAGCAGAGAATGAACCTAAGCTATCTGAAGCGGAAGCGTCGCAAGTACGCCCAAGCGGCAACCCCAACCGCGGCACCGCCCAGGTGACCGGAGTAGCCGACTCGACTCGCATAGTCCTGCACGTTGTGGGGCATTGTGACGTCAGAGAGATGTGATGAAGGAAACACGCGACTCCGAAGGGGACGTATCTTTACTTCCTCAAAGTTCCGTCAGTTGGGTCTGTGAAACAAAGCGCAACGCTACTCAAAATACCGTTTCGCGACTTACATAACAGTTGACCGCATTTGACAGAGTCTACTCACATGCGGAACGCGTAGAAAGAGCCGCACAAACGCGTGCGCTGGCCCAGATCCAAGTCGGCGGTTCGAACTAGAGAAGAGATGAACCCGTCAAGAGTAGGTGGAGAGCAACTCACTCGTCCGATGGCGCCCGAAAGGTCCGAATAGATGACTAGCGCCCCCTGCACGATGTACGAGAACGGTCACCTCAGCTGCGAAACCTTGGTTTGGTGAGTATGACAACAACATTCCGGGAGAATCTGGTACTTCGGGTCGTGATTCACGGTAACGTCAGCTCGGCGGCTTGGATAACACTTTGTTGAGAAAGCTCACAAGCTGGGAAGGATGAAAGGTGGCGGCATGACCGGGTCAGGCAGTTGCTCCTGAACTCGCTAAAGGATGTGAAGCGCAAAGAAACGGACAGGAGTCCGTTTTCCGGGATTCCTCGTCAACCTACGAAATGAAGAGATATCCCACCTCACGAGCTCAGTTCGGCCCATACGTGTGGTTGCGATACGAGCCAATTATGGCTGATCAGCGGGTAGTCGGAGCTGGAAGTGGGTTATCACTCGATAGTACGAGGTTCCAAGTAACAAAAAGAAGTAACTGGAACAAAATGAAAAGAATCAGGTAGGGAACAACACCGTGAGGAGACAGACGAAGAAGGAGACGCAGATGGGGAGGCGGACTCACTAGGGCAATTGCGGGCACCGGGATGATCAAGTTCAGGTAGATGGTGCGGAACGGATCCGCCAGGATGCTGCAAATCAGAATTGCGTTTATGGACCCGCTGGCGCCTTGAGCCGGGCGCGTTTGGCGGGGGTCGTAGAAACGGCGACTGTAACCCTGCAAAAAGAGGAAAAGTCCAATGGTTCGAAGGAGGGTTTGGGGAAGGGTAAAAGTAGCCATCAATAATTGTACGTCCAAGGGGATAGCAGATAGCATACTGCCTGCTTTTGGCGGCTGTCGTAGAAACGCCGACTGTAGCCCTGGAAAATACAAGAATCGAAGTTTTTGATTTGAGGGAGGGTTCGGAGGGGGTAGAGGAGCCATCGGAGCCTTGGATTCGAGGGGAGGACATTAGACGGAGCTCTTAAAAAGGTAACATCCCAGGGTACTAGATTGTTAGTAGGAGGTTTCGAGGAGAGATGAAGGGCCCGCAAGTTGTATGCTGGAGGGAATGACGTTAGGAGGAGACAAAGGCAAACTAACCGCGGGGAAATCATGAAGCGGAGCAAGCGAGCTTTCGAGACGTGGTCAAAGATGAGCAAAGCACGGGTTGATTAGATTGTCACAATTCAACTAAGAACGGCAGATTCGGAAAACAGTAGTAACCACGAATGAATAATAGAGGTCCAGTGCAGCCCCACAGAGCAGGTAACTTGGATATAAGATACAAATGCACGCAAACGCCGCACCTCTTTCCAAGGCACGTATGCAGTCCAGTAGAGGCAGTAGCTGGCTATGCAGCCGAGGCCGCCCGCCAGGTATAGCCCCAACAGCGCTTGGCCGCCATACCGGTACCCGATCTGAAACACAGCAACTGTATGTCAGACTGAGCGTTACACACGCAGCAACGCTTGGCCGCCGTATCGGTACCCAATCCGAAACGCAACGACTGTTTGTCAGACTGAGCGTTTCACACGCAACAGCGTGACCAGGCGAAAGGTGCACATAGAATCTGGTAAAACCGAAGTACTCCCATCCTGAGAAGATGCACTTCAGAAGGACGCCATATCCGGGGGCGCAAGTCTGGCTAGATTGACTTGGCTTGGAGGGCCGGAAGGCAACAGATTGCTCGATAGGGCACAGAATAAGATCCGCAGAAGGCATGTGGGCGCGGAGGAGAAAGTACGAGCAATGTTGACGGAGTTAACATATGACTGTCAAACGAAGCGAGAAACCAGAAGCCGTTTCGAGGAACCATCCGCAAACAACGAAGAGGGGTGCAACCAAGACTCACGGACTGTCCGAAAAAGTAGAGCGAGATCATGTTGAGCGCCAGATGCTTGACATCCGAGTGGCTGAAGTTGGCGGTGATGGCTGTGTGCAGGCGCAGGCTTGCGATGGAGTCAACCGACGCCTGTGGAAAGCAAAGACTGGAACTTCAGTCTGCGCTTGAGTACAGTTCTAGCAATACAGACGATGCCTGTCTCTTGTAACATGGGCACAGGCCGCCAAGCAAGGGTTGGCTTCCATGGCTTGTGCCTCGATTTTCGCACATCGAGGCTTTGATTCAAAACAAGCAAGTCGATCGAATCTAAAAGGAGACCAAAGGAAAAGCAGGGAGACAGTGACTAAACAGCGCCTCATAAAGTCGTAGAGATTGCAGCGAAGCACGGCAAAGACTATGACACAGGAGGGAAGATAAAGAGGAACAAAGGGCGCTTGACCAGAACTCTTTCACATTCCTGGTCCTCACGGCATCGAAGTACTCGTTGGAAGGCTTGGTCTACTTTTGAAGCCATGGAGAGCTTTTCGATTCGGGTCTGCTTTCAAAAGAAGTCCTCACCAGAAAGTGCCGTTCCATGAATGGCTGTAAGTCTGGTACTTGCCAAAGCAACCAGACTGCAACATTGACTCCGATCAATCCATAGAGAACGGTGTTTGGATCTACGGCGCCGCGGTATGAGTAGCCCCGTTGATACCCTGTTCCCCTGTTCCAAAAAATAATGCTTCGTTCGGATGACATAGACTCCATCCCAAAATCCAGCGGCGATGCCCAATTCAGCTGGACATTTCCTGTGAAGGCATGCTAGAACAAGGTACTTGCTTGGTCGGCCTTTTCGACCCCCAGGACCTTCAAATTCGCAAAGCAGAACATGGATACTTCTTACTTTTCATCTGGTGAGATTCTAAAAGACATTACTTGGTAACAAGCATTAGAGTCGCTTTGCAGGCACGAATGGCATACATAACGCCCAATCTCCTTTTCTTATGCACGATGGGCAGGATGATTTGCAAGTTCATTCTCCTGCAACAGGTTTGAACAGTTGTTGCAGGGTCTTCTCTCGATTCAGGATTCAGGACAGGCATCAAAAGCTGCTCACAACACTTGACATGCACCAAACCCTGACATTTGCTGTGTTGCACTTACAGAGGAGATGGCTCGCTTAAAGATAAAGCGGAGCTTTGGTCAGACTACTACAGTGAATTGACTGGGGCAAGAATAACGCCAATGGATCTACAAAATTCTGCTCTCTATTTGTAAGACTGACACAAAAGCATGCACACATCGTGACTTTTAGAGCTACAAAACAAGCCAAAGGTTCTGGATCCCGCGCAGACTAAGACTTGCTTTGGTACAAGTGCCTGTGATGCGAGAAAGTAGTCTGTGCCTTGTGCGGCAACAACTTCTATCAGATTTTCTTAGAGAAAGGTGGCTTTTCTTTCAGCTGAACTAAACAAATATAGGCAGAACTTTACGAGGGCACATTTGAAGTGTTGCACGTACCTTAGAACAGGTAATTGCTGCCTGATCCTTTGCAGTGACTCCTGAAAACCGTTTGCTCTGACTATCGAGTTTCCAAATGCCCTCAATCTGTGCAAAGCCTCGACACTCGCTCCAGTATGAAATGTCTGGAGCTTCAATGAGCTTGATCTTCCTAATGCTGCGACCTTGAGTGCAAGCTTTGTGTTTGCAGTTCCTAACAACGAAGACAAGCGAGGCGCTGCAACACGGTGCTGCCAAACATGGGCATAGCTTTTTGACTGCTCTAGAAAAGACTTTAGCTTATCTGCAGAGAACCTTGACGCCCCAAGCTTCGCCACACTCTGCTGAAAGTGAGATGCCTCAGCTTGCTGATACAACCAATGATTCCGACCACCATTGTGTAGAAAATGCTTTGGAATCCTGCTTAAACCACTTCTTGATCCACTTGCTGCATCTAGGTTTCCAATTTTGAAGCCACCACCCTTCAAAGGACTTGCTATCAAACCAGCAGTCTTAAGGGAACTGAGAGCATGCGGGCTCCGGTACGACCGGGAAGCAATCAGCGCGACTTGCATGAGTGATTGCTGCGCCTCCTGGATGGACCAGGGTTTTCCAAGGAGAAAGAGCATCGTTTCTCCAGAGTATGCTGATTGACACCCTCGAGTATGATACAATTATGTTGGTTTGAGTGCCCGTTTACACTTTTCGAAACACATTAGGCTCGTTGCGATTTTAGTCGGCCCGGATGCTTGTAAAGAACAGCAGGCAGCTGAAAGCCCACTGAAAGCAGCCCATGCAGCGCCAGATTGTGAAGGGAACAATCCTAGAAAAGCGAAGGACGCATTGCTTCTTCTTTGCCTCAGGCTTCGGCAAAGTCCATCTCAACCGCGCGCCCGTGGCGCCTCTCGGCAACTCCCGCGCGGCCGCGGGTCGAAAAAACGCGCGGCCGGCCGCCGAGCTAAACCCCAGCGCGCGACACCCGCGTATAACAAATAGTGACTGGTCACGGTCACTCATGCGCAACAAATATGCCGTTTTCTTGAGCGGCGTGCGGCGGCGCGCGTCTACTTCGGACGGACATTCTGCAGCTGTGAACACTGGCAGCCACTTTCATGGGTCTTTGGACGTCAAGAATTGGGGATCGGCGTGTGATCCATCGTTCACTGCAAACGTCCGGTTGCAATCATACAGTCAACGGTTGGACAAACTAAACCCTCAATCTCATGACGGCCACGCTCCATTCGTATGAGGCTGGCCGGGTATTCCGAAACTCAACTTGTTTCGAACCATCTCATGATATGATCTTTGCCGTCATCATACAGGACTCGACGGCGCCTCTGCGCCTCCCTTTCATATGGTCATATCAGGGAACAAAAACGGCAGATTAATAGGAGAATGCTGGAGGATTGGGCTCCACCGCACAGCTTCGGAGTTTTCACTTACCCAAAAGTGGTGCTGAAACTATCAGAAGATGAACAAAGCGGTGACGGCCGAGGGCCCTCTGAATATCCAGATTTTTACGAAGAACGTTTTTTGAAGAGTCATCAGCCCTAGGCGTAGATTAGTGTCATTTCTCCTACGTCCGATAACGCTTTGGCTCTTAAAATGGCCGAGGCCGGCAAATGTCCCTCGGAACAAGACCCGACTATTAGTAGCGATGTGGGCACGTAGCCAAATACGAGGGCATTTCCCACAAGAACCGGTCTGATGCGGTTGCCGGTCACGTGCGGCCCCCTGAAATCTGGATATCCCTGGCTATGTCGGTTATCTGCGGACGCTGAGGGCGTCCGATTGACTGAGGAACCTCTCCAAGATGGCTTTTATTGCCAGAGCTGCCGTTCGCCATCGCCCAAGAATAAGTACGTTTCAGCAACCGCAGGAATTTCAGAGTATCCAATGCAACACGTGGCAAGTGAACAAAGGAGGATGGCGGTAGAGCCAGTCAAAACGTAGTTTTGGCTTTCTCAGGCACTAACGGAAATCGGAGAGCTGTCGGGTTCGCGAGGCTGGTTCGCATATCCCAGCTGAAGACAAGAATAATTCACTTCTTAAAAAGGGCTATAAGTCATACAGTTTCAAAGCTAAAAGACTGGGCGCTTGTGTGACCATTATATGGCGAGGAGCACGGAGTACGATTGCGTGAAGGGCCGAATCGGCTTCGCCGCTCAAGCCCAATCTTGGACAATACTTACGCGATCCACCACACGATTCCGAGAACGTCGTTCTTGCACGTAACGATTGGTTTCGACACTCTTTGTCCGTTGTGAGCCAAATTGAACATCAGCCTGGCCCCAGCCTGGCACCTCCACGCCGGAACTCCCAGTGCATCTATGCAGTGGCGTATCAATCGGTTGGATCTCGTTGGCAGCCCAGGTGCTGCCGGCCAGCCCCTGCCCACGTGGCTGGTCCCAGCGCGCAGCCGGCAAGGACACTGGTGGCGAGCAGGCGGACCGCGCCAGCGGGCCCAGGCCCGCGCGCGCGCGCGAGTCGCGCAGCGGCCGCGTCAGTCGAGCCGCAAGCGCCGCGCTGAGCGAAAGTTAGACGCTGGCCGTCTGGGTCCGAGCGCGCCTTTGCTGGCCGACGCGCGCACAGATGCGCTGGGGCCAAGTTTCAACCAGACCATCAAAGGAAACAAACGTTGACAGAGTGGTTCAGGAGAAATGGAGAATCTACTACAACGGAGAGAATATGAAACTAAGTTTATCGAGAAGAAAAGTCAGAAATTCTTTGTAGAGCTCCAGGGGATAAGGGGGATCGATGGTCAAGAATTAATCGATTGGTGTGTATTGAAGTTCGAGCTGTTGATGGCACTTAAACGGACCATCAGCAGCCCAAGTTTGTTGCAGGTTTCGCCATAGGGTGGTCTCGGCAGGAACCTCAAGAGCAAAGTTGCGCGTCAGACGTGAGCATGATGTGAGAAAAGACTGCGTCCATTGCTGTAAGGGGTCGGATTGCCAATTGTCCGGAGGTGACTATCGAAAGGACGAGCAACTGATAATTTGTCACACATTGCCTTTCCAAGCCTCTCTAGATATGTCGCTGAGAGTACCAAAACATTTTTCTGTTGGCGGAGCATCAGACAAGGCTCGTTCGTTGCAAGTTCACCGGAAACGACGGTACAAAGAGGAAGTCTGGAAGATCTCCACTTGGAAGTGCATTTCCCCGCAGCTCGGACGAGCCTTTATTCGCATAGCTTCAGCATCCCAGCACACCAGGTTATGAGGGTTGATCCTCACTGGTGGCTCTTTCTTCACGGCTCCGCTCAACTGGCTGAAGTGACAGAGTTTAAGAGGTTGAGAAATTTGTCGTGCAGAATCGCCCACGACGTGGAAGCGGCTGATCGAAAACGAACGGGACTGGCTGCCCGATGATAACCTCGTACAAGTCTCGAGCCTCGAGCCTCGATGATTTCATCTGATCTTGGTAAGAATGATCCCCTTTCCAAAAACATTCTGTGGCCAAAAGCTTAGGTTATTCGGTCGTTTATTCGGTCGTTCTAAAGATCAAAAATAAGAGAACGCCAAAGTTCGGCAGAGCACTTCGTTCGAGGCTGGGTTGCGAGGAGTTCTAATGTCTCGAAGTGAACCGGCCAGACTTCTAAGACGGGCTCTTCGTAGAGGAAATTTTATTCTTAAGGCAGTGGCTGCAGGCTCAATTGCGCATCCCGGATACATTTTCCTGTCCGCCTGGATCTAGAGTCACTTCCTGGATGGAAGGAAACAGTACTGAGCGCAATCAACCAACCATGGCCAGCCAAACAGACCCTGCGCTCAAGTGCAGAAGCGCCCGGGCCAAAGCTGTCTGTGGGGTTCCTCTATTGGGTGAGCTATTTTGGAAAGGCGTAACTTACAACTGAAAGTAGCCGAGATGTTTGTGCCATTAAATTATGACGACATTACAAGCACTGCCCGGGGAAGAGAAAAAAAGCAAGGCCCGGGGAAGATAAGCGGTTCAGTGTAGGGCAACAAGAAACAGACAAATATGCCGGAAGACAAAGCGACTCTGCATCAGCATGTAATCGTAATGGAACATGTTCTGTCCATGGATGAACGACGACATGTAGAATCAGTATGAAAATCTGCACTACGTCCTTAACGGAAGGTCGTGAAGGCTTCACTCGTCGCTACGGCTTACGTAAGGCTTCATTCCCAACCGCTTCGAGCATGGCAGTTTTTTGTTTTGTAGCTTTGAGGACCAAGCCACAAACGCCGCAAAGAAAGGTCTCCATGCCAAAATGTCACTTAAAGGTCTGAGCGGGCTCGAGCCTCTTGCTCACTCTCGGAACCTTGCGACCGCCCACTTGTAAGGTCCACTCAAACCACGGGCACTCTACCAACTAAGAAAAGAGTGCGTCTTCCTCAAGCCTGGTTAGATTTTGATCTTACGATTGTCTGGCCTCTTCTGCCTCTCGAAAACCGGACCAGACCTTGGATGGGTCAGCTTGTCAACACGTCGGATGCTTGTTATGCTGCTTCTGCATCCAGCTTGTCCTTGATGTCATCACACGATCGACTTCACCCATTAGGAGAAAAAATCATGTTTCGATTCCTGATGTCAGCTGCGCAAACTAGAAAACGGAAAAATGTCAACAAGAAGTCCTCGTCATGATCAAGGACGAGTAAACGAGCCTCGATGAAGGGTCGGCAAAAAGTGAAAGTATATCTGACCCAAATCGTTGAAGTCTTTGTCCACTTTGCATCGAAGTTAGAGAAGATAGACGCCAGGATGCCAAAATAAGCGTTTACATATCTGGCTTCATTGTCGCCATGCCAAGGACTTGGCGTGAGAGTTGGTCCGGATCTCAGCATTCATGAATCACCGCCAGCAGATTTTGTTTGGTTTCATGAGAAGCAGGAAACACGCCCGCCCATTTATGGTCTGAACTCGATAACAAGTTGCAGATTGCAATCAGCACCACGCCAGGCCGGCTCATGGGACAATTCATACGTCGACAGTCTTGCCAACCGCAGCGCTGGGGCTTGCGACCGCTCATCAGTCACCACGGCTGGTCACTGGCACGGCTAAAAACAAATTTCACCGACAAACGCTCGTCTGTGCACCCTCCCAAGTAGCAAGAAGAAAGGGCTGGCAGCTAAAGCCCGAGCTTTGCACAGTAGGAGCACCTGTTCCAAAGCGAGGTCAGGTTGGCCGCGGCCGCCAAAGCCGGAAATTGAGTCCCTTCCCCGTTACTTACAACAGCCGCGCCGCGTTAAGACACCCCGCGCGGCCGCGTTTGAGGTCGGTGCGCGCACCGGCGAGCTAGCGCCTAGGTGCGCCGCGCCTCATGTCGGCGAGTGCGGCCGCGTAAGTACTAGGGCGCAGCTTCAATCTAACGCATCTTTCTCATTGTTTGTCGTTTGTAGTCATAAATAATCTTTTGAAGAATGTCAGAGGCGGGCACGAAGGCGGCTGCGCGCTTATTCGCGGCGGCTTTGCACGGTCGCATGGGCGGGCGCTGAGCCCAATACGTTGGATTAACAGGAACTAAGCGCGAACGAGAGTAACGTGTAGTCTGGGTGGCAAAACGAATAGCCGCCCGGAGGAACGGCAATCCAGGCGCCCGCCATGAGGAGTGACAATAGCCTCTAGCTTTGCAGAGCAGATCAAATTGAACACCTTGCGAGATCATTAAGAACCGTTTAGCTTTTACAAGTAGCTTCAACCAACTAGTTGGATGGCTAAGACATAACGAGCAACGAACTCCTTGAAAAGTTCAATATGCGCGCACGGTGTTTCTGAGCTCTACCATTGCGACTTGAGATTCGGATTTGTAGTTGATTAGTTCAGTTGATTGGAGTACGAACATGAGCAATCTTTCCAAAATCTACCAAAGCCAGCGTAGATCCCAGAGAATGTTTTGGGGAAATCAACCATGCAAATTAATCAAAGTATGTACACATCTTGGACCAATTCACTCTCGCCTAGCGTCAGCAGCATGCAGCCAGCATATCCCTGAGGTGACGTACGGTTCAGGTGGCCAGCGTTGTTTCGCGGCTTGCCAAGAAGTCAGGTGAGCTAAAGAAACGTAGAGCAGAATATACCAAAAGGGGCGACGATGAAATGACAAAAGCGGCCAACAGAGCGACAACGAGACCGGGCGCCCCGCGATGGATATTGTAGATTCGGGCGCCGCAGACGTAGCATGACCTGATAAGAATCCGAGATCCTTTTCTCGGCGCCGCTGTGGAAAGGACGCACGTCCCAGGCCCCTTTTGCAATCACAGGATTCTGAAAAAAATACGGAGTACCCAGAGGGTCCGGAATGGCTTCAGAGCAGACAATCCGCTGCAGCAATATGCTCGAGCAAGGGTCGTGCAAGCTTTGGTTGAACTCTGACTGGCTTCGGGTCCGTAGAGCCAGCGCGCTTCATGAGACCGATCTCATCTTCGCCGTGATCATTGCCAGCTGCAAGCCTTTGATAGGACTCCACGCCTCCTTTTACCTGATTGTATTAGGGAAAAAGCACTGCAGACTATGAAGGAATGCAAGAGGATTGAGCTCCACTGCACAGCTTCGGAATTGTCATTCGTAGGAATCTGGTGCTGAAACGATTTGAAAGATGAAGAAAGTGGTGACGGCTTCTTCCAAAGAGTCATCAACCCTGGGAATAAATACAGAGTCATCAGCTTTTAGGCTTAAACAACGTCAGACAAAGCTTTGGCTCTTTTACTGGCCGAGACTAGCGATTTCCCTTCAATCAAACTTGGCTCATAGTCGCGTGAAGGGCACATAGCCAAAACAAGTGGGTATTCCCATGCAATGCCGAACGGGGCGTGGTTTGGTTGCCGGCCACGTGCGGCCGCCTTAACTCTGGATTACCCTGGCTATGTAAATAAAATGCGGACGCTGAGGGCGTCCGATTGTCTCCAAACCCCAACAAAAAATGGCTTGTATCGCCAGAGCTGCCATTCGCCATAGCCCAGGAGTTGGTCCGGTGTCCGTCTGTGTGCAAGCGCAGGGATCTCAGAAAAAACAGCACGTGGCAAGCGGAACGAGAAGAAGATGGTAGCAAGAGGGACGTGTGTACGGTCAGGATGCACCAGAACTGGAGGCAGTGGAAACGCACGAACCTGTCGGCCACACCTTGCATGAGACCTGAAAGCTTTCAGTCCCCCTTCAGTACGCAATGCTGGGTCGCTGCAAACCCGGCTTTCAAGTCATCCTCACAAGGGGTATCAATCATGCAAGTTTTGAAGCTTAAAGACTTGGGCGCGCGCTTGTATGACTGTCAACATTTTGCGGAGGACTGAGTACGAATGAAAGCAAGGGCCGGCTCGGTTATCTGCGCTCCCGCACCCGATGGCCCTTAGTAACACCTACGGGATTCACCATTCACTTTCTCGAGAACGCCATTCTTTCACTTGACGGTCGTTTTCGACACGACTTGCCGTAGCTGCAGCGAGTTGGAGGAAAAAGTTGAGCCTGGCAGCTGCACGCCGGGACTCCTTGTGCATGTATGCAGTGGCGTATTCGTCCGTTAAATATCGCTGGCAGAACAATCCTGCGGCTGCTGTTGGCCAGCCACTGCCCACGTGGCTGTTACGTGCGCGCGCACAGACGGCAACGAGGCCGACAGCGTCAGCCTATGGGGAAGCTAAACTCCAGGGCGGGTGCGAGCGAGTCGCGCAATGGCCGCGTCAGTGAGCCGCAAGCTCCGCACTGTCCGATAGGTGGACTAATCATAATCGGCCATCTGGGTCCGAACGCGCCCTCTGCTTGCCAACGCGCACGAACCAGGCCGGGGCCAGGTTTCAACCAAACTAAACAAAGAAATGGGTGTAATCTTTTACAAAGTGCTTTGGGAGTTTTTCGGAGGAGTTGTACAGAGGAAGAGAGGTTCTTCAGTAAGATCGTAAATCATCGCAAGAAGCTACGGTGGAGCTGCAGGGAACAAGGGAGATTTTACATCATCAGATCGATCTATCAACCTGCACTTCCGGTTCGAGCTGTTAATGGGCGTTCGACACAGACCTTCAGCAGCCCAATAAGCGCCCCAAGTTCGTTGCCTGTTTCGCCATCGGGGGGTCTTGGCAAGAACCTTAGAGCCAAAGTTGCGCGTCAAACGCGAGAACAATGTGAAATAAAGACTGCGTCCTTCGCTGCATATAGAGGGCCGGACGGTAACCTCTTACGTTCTACTTGGATAAAGGCTCGCACTGCTAATGACAAACGGCGAGGAAGATCAGTCAGTCACTTTTTTATGGTTACGGTTCTGCACGGTTGCCGGGCGGTTGCCTCGTGCATCTTTCTTGTCGCCTCTTCTCCGTTCTGCTCCGCCTGACCCGGCGGCGACCATCGGCGCTCCTGGCCAAGTCTCTTTTCCTACATCTCAGCGGCACTAAGGGCCGGGCCAGGCGGGCCACCTGGGCGGAACTGATTCAGCGAAATGCAACGCATCAGTCCCGGAGCAGCGCGGTCCGCTCGCGGCCGTGGCCGCGGCTGCGGCCAGCCCACGTCACTGCGAGTTTTTGCTCCTAAGATTGGACATCACAAAAAAGCGGACGAATCGATCCGATTCTCTGCAAGTTGCATCTTTCATTTTGAGATGTCATCTTACGATGGCGTCCTCCCATACGCAGGATCAAGAATCATATGGTGAGGTCCTGGGATGGGCTGCGCACAAAGCTTGTTTGGGCACTTACTCAGCATGGGCAGAAAGTTGATTAAGACCTGCCTTCGAAGCCACACGTGAATCGCACGAGACACGAGTACGCAAAATAATTCGCTACTTGCTTTTCAAAAACGGATCAGAGTTGGAATTGTTTTGCGTAGATGACGATTCGGTGCGATTGTGGCTTCAAAGTCGCGGCTGTTAATATATGAGAGTCGTTGCCGATCACAAGATTTTAAAATCACAGCCACCAAGTCCAGTTTGATCTGGTTCCAGTGGGCAAGAAGGAAGCCGGGCCCATCCATGAATTTTGCGCCAATCAGGACTGCAGCTTGCAATGCGCCCTTTGACAGACGGTTCTCATGACCGTTACACTACGGACATACTCTGTCTTGCATTCGTTATGCTCGGCGGAAGAACGCACATCAAAGACAGGTAGTGGGCACACGTCTTGCTGATGACCGTCAGCTTTTAGGCAGCTTGTAAAGACACAGGCGGCTCGTTCTCGCACCCCTTGCATGGCCAGAAGATGGGCCGGCAGCCAATGCCACAGTTTTGCGCTTGCCACTCTTGGCCGTTCCCTCCCAGCGGCTCTTTTCAAAGATAGGTTTGTTTGCATCAACCGTGCCGTCGGGTTCCAATCTATTTAGGCATGGTTATCAAATTTGAGCCCTTCGATGCTTTCCTTGTCGTCGGTCGGACGGTCTAAGATCAGGAACGATGCTCGGAGCATTTGCACCCGATGGCAAATTTGAAGCAAAGAGCTGTACTGAAAAATCAAGACTACAGAGCAGAAGCCACATACAGCACTCTATCATCTTAAGCACCTTTTTGAAGTCTAACTTCCAATCTCTTCAAAGCATGCCTCAGAAAAAATTATCCTTATGAGTCGAACGTGTATCTACTCGCCCTTCTGCGGGAAACCCTGACATGGCCACAGAAAAAAGATCTAACTCACTTCACCCTATTTTAAAGATAGGGATCTCATCCGCAGTGCAAGCGAACGCCTCTGATGGTGGCGAGTAAGACCGCGACTAGCGCGGTGCCTTCATCTCAGCGAAAGAAACGGGCGGGACACCGACCACAAGATGGTGGCTGAAGCCGACCTGTCCGGGAGCACCCACGATGTTGCACGGCCAGTCTGCCATTCTTTAGCTGCGAATTCGAACTTTACGGATTCCGACAATATACCACACTTCCCGCCTTTTGACGGAACTATATTAAAACTCCGTCGAAAATAACAAATGTGGTGCCAGATAAAGGGGCCCGAGCCTCTCGCTATCCCATTGGAATCACCTCAGACCTCGAGGACTCGATTGAAAAGAAATCCGTGCACGTGCAAATGAAGATGCGTAATAGCAAATTAAAAACAAAAGCGGGCCGGGGCAAGGGCTAACTCGTTTGCAGAGGCGCTCAGCTCTGAAAGAGGGCGCGGGCGAAGCAGCGTACTGACACCGTTTCGCAATATCAGAGCCGATGACCATTTTGATTGCACACAATAATGCCGATTTGCATCTAGCAAAGCAATACCGATACCCAAGGATTGCGGAGGAAATCGGTATGGAAGTAGCCCGTCCGTATCGGTGACCGAACAAAGTTGTACAACGCTCGCCCATCAGAAAAGACCACCTGAATCTGCAGTGCTTGCTTATCAAATTACGGCAGCTTAACAATTGCCCACATAGAGATTTTTCTTTATTTGGCTTCCATCCTGAGCTTAACCACATGAGCAGACCTCAAGCGAAGCTTTGTCATTGCCATTGAAAACCAATCCAATCAATCTCCCACAAAAAGCCAAACGCAAAGGGGGATATAATTGCGAGGTCGGTCAGTGGCGTGATGGATACACATATTGCAGTAGCGAGAAATAAATGAGAGTCTCTTGGATGGAGCCCCAACTTGAACTGCAAAGGCAGACCGCTACTCCCAGCTTTGCGCACCGTCAGAATACTAACCTCAACAAGGCAACAATTGAGTTTTGCAAGTAATCAGCTCGCCGGTTCCGTCGAATTCATCTGGATCAGCATGGCGCCAGCAAATGAATCCGCCGCGTTGGTGGGTTGCTTGCGGTGGCGCGGCGCTTCCTGACTTGTGACGTTTTGGCGCCGCACTTGCGCTCCGACTTTCTGGGACACGTCCTCAAGGCTTCGGTTTGGTCATGAAGTTCATGAGAGTAGAACTCAGGGATGATAAAGTCATGGCCATGAGTGCCACTGGTAGGTCACAGGGGGGATTGGTTTTCTCCCCCCCTTTCTCCCCCCCCTCTCTCCCCCCCGGGGGGGGAGACTACATTCTCCTCCGGAGGGGGAGAAGTCTTCCCCACATGAGGGGCGGAGAACGGTCTCCCCCACCTGACCACTGTGGGTGAGATTGTCTCCCCCAGTCGAGGACGGGGGGAGAATTCTCCCCCTCACTTTTGGAGAGGGGGAGAGAATTCTCCCCCTGCTCTCCCCCTATCCTCCAAACGAAGGCAACTTTCGAGCTGATTTAACAAGAATCTCAACAATAACAAATATTCGAAGGATGTTTAAGGAACTCGTACTGTCCTCTAACGTTGTTAAAAGCATCAAATTCACTTAAAAGTTACATTGCTCGTTCATGTTACATTTGTCTAATTCTTCATCGGCGAAGTCCTCAGTAAGGCTGATTCCTTCATGTCGAACGGATAAAAACAGATGGAAAACACCAAAGGTGCTTCAATATACTTTCTGAAGAACCTCTGAAGGTGAAGAACGGGCTTACGGAGGCGTAAAGCGCTCTCCAAACCAGCAAATGGCGCTCTTGAAAATGGCACCTGTAACAACTTTATATATGTTTTAAGCTGCCCCTCAAAAGTGCACACATATGAGATATACCACAGGTGGTTAAGGAGGCAGACCTAATGGCACAAGGACACCGGTTCGAACCCGGCAGGTGACAAACGTCAGGTTTTTGCAAGAAACCATTTTTTTTTTTCCGTTTGAGCACTCAGAACCGTTCATGTCGGACTTAGCAAGCATACCCCGGTCCGTGTATTTACAATCTCCAAGCACTTTTGAAGAAGCGAAGCATTTCTGGAGTGGGGGAGAATCATGGGGGGAGAATTCTCCTCCACCGGGGGAGAGGGGGTGGAGAGTGACGGTTCTCCTCCCCCCGGGGAGAAGTGGGGGAGACAGGTGGGGAGACATGACCAATCCTCCCTGCCGGTCAAGCAGCGTGCACGTGAGTTCTTTATGGGCACCGCCGATGGTTTTGAAGAATCACGCACAAGCCACGGGGTTCCAGCGAACGTTCTGAACCTCTGCCGATACGAAGGAAATAATGGAAGTAAGCACAACATCTAAAGCTGCAAGCAAACCAGTTCGAGTCTTAGCGATAATAACGGAACAAACACATTCGAGCAAGCCGCCGGAACACTTTCTTGAGCGACCCTAGCAACCTGACAGGTCCTTCCAACCCAGTCTACATTTGCAGGTGGCGCTCAAAATCCGAGGAGTCGAGACTTGGACCGGCGTTATTGACGAATGCGTCGTTCCTTGGTCATGCAATCACTAAGTCAGAATGAGTAAGCAAGACCAAAATATCACCTGGAAGAGAACTCCGCATCAAATAAAGACTGCCCAGTTTTCGGACGCTTGGCTCTAGCCGGGTGCCCTGCTGATGAGACAAAGCTCCCAGCGAGGACTCTTCATAGCCCTCTCAACAGCACCATACATCAAAATTGGTTCTGGATCTAATTGTCGCTGAACCATCACGAAGAGCGGTACGTGCAGTGATCCAGTGAAGCGGTTTGGATCAACCAGGAGAGAGCAAAGAAGGAGAGCCTCTCTGCTCTTCTTGGTCCAAAGTCAATTACTTTGGAAATATTTTGGATCGCAACGTAGCTTGAGCCAGCAGTCACGAGAATCAAGGGCAAGTTCCATCTCGGAAGTTAATTAAGCAACGCTGCTACTGGACCGAAAATGCTGGCTACGAAGCGGCCCGAGCGCATCGCATCAAGGAAACCGCCTTGAAGACTCGGACGAGACGTCTGTGATCCGACTTCGGCAAAGATTCTTTTTCATGTATGTTACCGCACGCACATCTTAGCAGCACTCGAGACGTGCACCAAAAGCGGTGACGCTGACTATGTTCATTTGTGTGTTTGAAACAGAACTTGTCCTTCAAAACTCATGTCAGCGCTTCAGCGGCGCATGCAGGTTGTGTTTAATAGGATAATATCCGGACGTCTTTCTCGGCCAAAACCAGTCTCGTTTCGCCCGGCACGGCAAACGAGGCCGATGCAAACGGATTCCTACGGCCATGTCGGTGCACACTCTGGCACTGGCAAAGCTGGCTGAAACAAAGTGCCCTCACGGATTCTCCTGTACCAAACGGTGCTCTGTGCTTGCTACTCCGTTATCAGGACCGCGTCGTTACCTAGTTCGGAGGAGCGCCGAAACGTCGCATTTCGTGACGTGCCCCATCAATTGTGCCAGTCTTTGCTGGTGAAAGCAGCTTTACTGAGCTGGTGCAAAGAAGTTGGGGCCGCAATCGGCAATCACCGTGCTCACTGGCAATTGTGCTGGGGACTATGAAGTCGCGCATCCGACGCTCATGGGCCTACGTATACCTGCTAGAGTTGGCTGAGCGTGCCCAGAGCAAAAAGAGACTCACCTGCGTACTTCGAGGACTTTGGACTAGGTTGCACAAGATTTGGCGCCAGGAATTCGAAGTAAGGCTGGCGTCAGATTCACCTGAGTCCTCTGAGCAGAAGAGCCCAGGCCGGCCATACCTTCATTATAGCCTTCAAACGTGGGTTATGAATTGTCCAGACTCAAAAGTGGCGCCCTTTGACAATTGGGGAACTTCGATGGTGTGCCCATGAATGAAGAAATTGGTCCATATGAGACGATTTCAAACCAAAACCTCGACCCACAAACGAGCGCGATACAGAAACGCTTCGCCACGATTCATTGCTGCACAATGAGAAATACTACATGAGATCGTCGTCTTGACACAACGAGACGGTGAGAGGCGAGATTTTTTACATGCGCATGCACAGGAAGGGAGACCAATGGAATGCACGTTTTAGAAATGTTTTACGACTGCGTTAGTAGTACCCTCAGGCGCATCCATGGCTCCCCGGTTGTTGAAGCCTGTGACTTTAGTCCGGTTTCGGACGAGCCCTTCCGGGCAGAAAAGCAGCGAGTGAAAATTAAGAGGTACGTAAACGTTGACATTTCTGGCTTCGGATTCCTGTTGGCTTCTTGAGAACAGTGTCTCAATGCAGCCCCTCGTCGTTGCCAAGGACCCCTAGAAGGCCACTCCACTTTGGAATTCTTTGAGGAAACTCTTTAAGGCTATACGTCTTTGGCCGGGTTGTACTACCAGGTGTCTTTCAAACCGCACCACCGGCACGAAGAGAAGGCATCACAATACAAAAGGATGCAGATTTTGATTACAGTAACGAGTTTTCAGGAGGACCGTGATGAGGTCGATACATGTACGCTTGCTTGCATTTTACTCCGCCACCATATATGTCGGGGTCCAAGACGACGCGAGTTCGGAATGGAAAGTCGACTTACAGAAAATGTCAGGAGGCTTGTAAAGATCAGTCACGATATTGCAAGGACCACAGAGAGTCGATTGGAGCGAACGTTTATCAGTCTGAATGCACGGAAATGAGTGCCGATTCTGGAACTCGTTCTCTAGCTCTTCAGCGTCAGACAAGCAGAGCATACAATATACGTAACTCTATATCGAATGACGCACTGAACGTAAGCGACAGATTGGGTGGTGCAGAAGGCAGCAACAGGAAGCCCTTTGAAGGTGCGCGCAGGCCGCGAGAATCCAGCGTTACCGAGTTCAAGGCGCCTTGCCACGCCATTTCGAATCAATTGAGACTCAGTATAGAGCATGTCATGAAGTGTGATTGAAACAGCCTGTTAGAGCTGAATAAATTTCGCGGTCAGCACCATAAGTTAGCACTACCATCAAGCACACCACCACTCTGAGAGGATTGAAAAGTGGCGTCATCTCCGTCTCGCGGAATTTATCATGCGCCCAGCGCGCAGTACACGCTGCAGAAGAGACAAGACAAAAAGGACCATTACCTCACGCTACGGAATCGATAAGATGAAACCACACGTCCGGACTGCTACGATGTCAACCTCCGCGACTTGGAGTTAGGACGTCCGCCAGACTTGAGCATCTTCTCAGGATCTTCTCTTCATGGCCACAATGGAGAACCAATCAATAAAAGATTCGCGGGATCAGCACTTTGACGGGAACGCCAAATCTCTAAATTTGCACTTGTCCACTTTCTTTTAAGAGCGGTATACATTCAGATCAGATTATCTTGATCATCAGATCGAGCCGCAATCAGCAGCGAGCAGCGCAAATCTGGTGCGAAACAAGCCCTCACACCCCGAAGTGTCCAGAAGTGACCGACAAATCTAGAGGGATCCGAGCTGCCCTCCAAAGAGAGTTTCTTTCTGGTTGGTCCTTCAAAGACAGCCTCTCTTCGGCTCCCACAACGAGATTGGAAACGAGATTGAACTTCAAGAGCTCCTGAGCGCCATACAGCCACTGCAAACGTGACCAAGTTCTCTGTCCATGCCAGTGAAACCAGGCCACGACCTCAAGGTAAGCAAAGTGAGAAACAAAGTGTGCCAGTCTGACACGGAAACTCTTCAATAGACGGGGACGCCAGTGACAATGCTGTAGCTTCTCTGAAGGGTTTAGGTAGCCTCTGAGCATTGCGCTCAAGTACAAAGGCGATCAAAATTACGACACTGACGACAAAATAAGCAGTCCGGAAAGCTTATTGAACACGAGATGGTGGCTTCAATACTTGCGCCTTTCAGATATTTCCATCTCAATCACATCTCGAATCATGACCACAGGGCAACTTTCGGTGCATTTGCAAAACCATCGAATCAGAAAATCACTCGGCTTAACAAAATGAAGTGGTGCTTATACTGAATGTTTCGCTAGATGGCCTTACAAACGGGATCGACATAAGACTCAAAGAACGAAAATGCCTGCCTCCAGGATCCAAAAGTTTTGCCTGTGGCGTTCTACTCATTAATCGGGGGACCGATTAAGTCCAGGGGCCTGCCACGCGCAGACAAAACCTCCAATGGGATGAGTTTGATACAAACACCTAACAGCACGAGCAGAAAACTTCACCATGCCGGTAAGCCTCTCAGCGAGTCATAGTAAAAACGCAAAGGTACAAGCCCCGTTTCCAGAGAGTGTTTGCATCGAAGGCGCTTCTCAAGTTGAGCACAGTGGACAAACTCAGCAATCATTGAAAGCCCATCAACGGCGTTCCTCTAGTGATGGCCCATAGACGTTCCTGTGAACAAAAGCCAAAGCGTCACGTAATTATGAATCGCGAATTGGCCGACGAAGTAGGATCTCTGACGCGTGAGAGTCCAAGGAATCACCTTGGACCCGCATGACCCGGTCATGTTACAATTCACTCACACACGCCGGACATGTTTCACAAGGAAACGCTTCGTCCAAATGAAACAGAGTAATGGGCCGAGAAAGTCCGCGCTAAGCGCCAACGTTGGCTTCAACGGCACTGCGTTCCACAATGAGCGAAGAAGCTCGGCTAGAATCATTATCATGGCCTTGTTGATCGAAAGAATCCGACTAAAAGGGGTCTCCTTCAAGACTCAACGATAGCTCACAAAGTCATGAGTCCAACGACTCGAACACGATAGAATGCTTAATCCTGGTCACGAGCCGGCGCAATACCAAAACGCGTCGCCGAAACCCTATGATGAACTCGGCTTCGTGGTTCGAGACTCAGACAGCGCCCCCGAGGATTTAAGCCTTCTTCAGAGCCAAGTGATTTGAAGAGGAACATTCTGATATTGAAAGTCTTGCCAGATTGACACACTGCTGCCCGGATTGCACTTCCAGCTCTCTATTACACAGCACCATTTGACTTTACGGAGAAGGAATCGTACTGCATAAGAAATATTACTGCATAGGGTATCGTAGTCCATCGAGATCGGATCAGTCCTCCGCAGTGACGATAGACAGAACCTGGAAGTCTTTTTGTCTGCAACCGCTTGTCAACTACCGGCATTAGTTTGACCTACAAGTCTGGGGCTAATTTGAATGCGGCGCCGGGCTTAGACCACAGTCGGCAGCTCGTAGAAGATTCAATGCGACAAATTCCACTTCTCACTGCACGAGCCACAGAGTGTCATTGTGACGCAAAATGATGACGTTGATCACGTCACAGGAGGAGAGGCTACATGGTAGATGCAATATAAAGATTTTCCTGCGGCTTAGAGTTCGGGGCCAGCGAATTCTCAGGAGCTAATTCTTCGTAGCCCCACGT